TTTCCAAGGATTCTTGGCAGTTTGAGGGATTTTCAAAAATGTTTGACAATTTTCAATTCTTTCAAAGACTGGCTAAGGCTCTCATAATTTATTGGGGGTCTAGAAGATTTCCAGTGGATCTAAACAAATTTTCAAGGATTTCTTAACATATTTCAAGAACTTTCCAAGAATTTATTTTTTACCAACTTGGATAATTCATATTTTTATAGACTACTTCTAAAAATTTCTAAAATATCTGCGCATTTCTTGAAGTTTTCAGGGATTTTTGAAAAATGATTGAGCATTTTCAATATTTCCAAGGCAAATTATTTGGGATATAGAACATTTCTAGTGGATCTATACCAATTCATAATTTTTTAGACTACTTACAAGAATTTCTAGAATATAACGAATATATTTCCAAAAATTTCTTGACGGTTTAATGGATGTACAAAATTGTTTTTCAAGAATTTTTGAAGCATTTCCAAAGATTTTCAAAGTATGTTTGACAATTCCTAGATTTTTTGTAGAGTTCCAATATTTCCATGTATGCTCAGTAATTTCCAAGGAGTGTCTAAGCTTTTCTGGAATTTATTGGAATATAGAAGATTCATTTCGTTTAATTCATTTTTTAAGTTATCTAAAGGTTTCCATGATTTACGTCTTCTTCAACAACTCTTTCTTTAGGGATTTTTGAGAATTCGAGAGCTTCAAGAATTTCTTAACGATTTTCACAAGAAATTTTATGGATTTGCAAAGAATGTTTGATCACAACAAGGATTTATTTGAGATTCATTTAGAGTATTAGGCCTTTTTGACCCCTTCCACGAATTTCCAAACGATTACTAATACATATCCAAGCATTTCCAGAGAATTTGAGGGATTTTCAACAATTTTTGAGGATTTTTAAGGTTTTCATGAGTTGCCGAAGGTTTTTGAAATTTAATGGAGACGAATCTAGATTTACATGGAGTTTCGTAACATTTGCAACAAATTTCTGGAATGTACTTTAGATGAATCTGCTTTCCATAAACTTTGGGAGAATTTCCAAGAATTTCTTAATGGTATTTAAGGGATGTTTAGACTACTACCAAGAATTTGTAAAAGATTTCCAAACATTTCTTGAGGATTTGAGGAATTTTTAGAATGTATGGGAGTTGCATCTCAATTTTCAAGGATTATAGGACTATACACAAGAGTTTATTGTAGAATTCCAATATTTTCTAAACATTTGAGGAATTTCCGTGTATATTTCACAATTTCCAGGAAGTGTCTAAGCTTTAAGCTTAAGATTTATTTGAGATGTATTTGGAGTATTAAGATATTTTTCATTACTTCCAAGAATTTTCAAACGATTACTAATACATATCCAAGTATCTACAGAAGATTTGAGAGATTTTCAAGGTTTCTAAAGGTAACCCACAGACTTGAGCTACTTGCAGCAAAAATTTACTGCAAGTAAAGTATTCAGTACTGTTTTACTTTAAGTAGTTTACAGCCAGTACTTTCAAATTGTAGGTACTTAATACTTGTACTTTCAGAATTTAGCTTAAGATGTACTGGATACTTGTTACTTGTTTGACATAAGAAGTACTTGAAGAACTATTTGTTTACTCCAAGTAGTTTATCTACTTCCAGTACTTTCAATAGTAAAAATAACAAAGTTTTAACGTTTTCTTCAAAATCCTAGATAATCTTAGGAATTCTATTAAATCTTTATGGTATGCTTGAAAAATCAGTTGAAATCTTCTGGAAATAATACAAAAATTTTTAGATATCCGTAAAAATAGATGGATATCTTTGAAAATGTGTCTAAATTCCTTAAAATTTTTAGAAATACCCAGATGACTATGGAAATTATTGGAAATCTTTTCAAAATCCCTAGATATTTTTGGAAATTCCTATAAAATCTTCTATAAATTTGAAATTTTGTAGAAATCTCTGCTAAATCCTAGATAACCTTAGGTATTCTGAGAAATTTTTATGGTATACTTGAAAATCCGTTGAAATCTTTTGGAAATTTCCTGGAAATACTAAAAAATGTTTACATAAGTGTCTGGGAAGAATTAAAAATCCTTGATATTTGTAATAATCCATAGATATCCATGGAAATCCTTCTAATTTTTCTAAAAGATCATTCAAAAGCCTTGGGTATACTCAAAAATCCTAAGATATCCGTAAAAAGCGAAGGATAGCTTTGAAAATGTGTCTAAATTCCTTAAAATTGTTAGAAATACCCAGTTGACTATGAAAATTATTGGAAAATTTTCAAAATCCTTAGATATGTTTGGAAATTCCTATAAAATCTTCTATAAACTTGAAATTTTGTAAAAATCTCTGCAAAATCCTGGATAACCTTAGATATTCTGAGAAATTTGTATGGTATAATAGAAAATCCGTTGGAATCTTTTGGAAATCTCCTGGAAATACTAAAAAATGGATACATAAGTGTCTGGGAAGAGTTAAAAGTCCTGGACATTCGTAATAATCATTGGATATCCTTGGAAATTCTTCTAATTTTCCTAAAAAAATCATTCAAAAGCCTTGGATTTACTCAAAAGTCCTAAGATATCCGTAAAATCGATGGATATTTTTAGAAAGTGTCTAAATTTCTTAAAATTGTTAGAAATACCCAGTTGACTATGAAAATTATTGGAAAATTTTTAAAATCCCTAGATATGTTTGGAAATTCCTATAAAATCTTGTATAAACTTGAAATTTTGTAGTAATCTCTGCAAAATCCTAGATAACCTTAGGTATTCTGAGAAATTTGTATGGCATAATTGAAAATCCGTTGAAATCTTTTGGAAATTTCCTGGAAATACTAAAAAATGCATACATAAGTGTCTGGAAAGAATTAAAAGTCCGGGACATTCGTAATAATCATTGGATATCCTTGGAAACCCTTCTAGTTTTTCTAAAAAATCATTCATAAGCCTTGGATATAGTCAAAAATCCTAAGATATCCGTAAAAATCGATGGATAGCTTTGAAAATGTGTCTAAATTTCTTAAAATTTTTAGAAATACCCAGTTGACTATGAAAATTATTAGAAAATTTTCAAAATCCTTAGATATGTTTGGAAATTCCTATAAAATCTTCTATAAACTTGAAATTTTGTAGAAATCTCTGCTAAATCCTAGATAACCTTAGGCATTCTAAGAACCTTTTAATGGTATACTTGAAAATCCGTTAAAAATCTTTTGGAAATCTCCTGGAAATACTAAAAAATGCATACATAAGTGTCTGGAAAGAATTAAAATTCCTGGACATTCGTAATAATCATTAGATATCCTTGGAAATCTTTCTAATTTTTCTAAAAGATCATTCAAAAGCCTTGGATATACTCAATAGTCCTAAGATATCCGTAAAAATCGATGGATATTTTTAAAAAGTGTCTAAATTTCTTAAAATTGTTAGAAATACCCAGTTGACTATGAAAATTATTGGAAAATTTTCAAAATCCCTAGATATGTTTGGAAATTCCTATAAAATCTTCTATAAACTTGAAATTTTGTAAAAATCTCTGCAAAATCCTAGATAACCTTAGATATTCTGAGAAATTTGTATGGTATAATTGAAAATCCGTTGAAATCTTTTGGAAATCTCCTGGAAATACTAAAAAATGCATACATAAGTGTCTGGAATGAATTAAAAGTCCTGGACATTCGTAATAATCATTGGATATCCTTGGAAATCCTTCTAATTTTTCTAAAAAATCATTCAAAAGCCTTGGATATACTCAAAAGTCCTAAGATATCCGTAAAATCGATGGATATTTTTAAAAAATGTCTAAATTCCTTAAAATTGTTAGAAATACCCAGTTGACTATGAAAATTATTGGAAAATTTTCAAAATCCTTAGATATGTTTGGAAATTCCTATAAAATCTTCTATAAATTTGAAATTTTGTAGAAATCTTTGCTAAATCCTAGATAACCTTAGATATTCTAAGAAACTTTTAATGGTATACTAAATTTTGTAATAATCCATAGATATAATAGGAAATCCTTCCAATTTTTTTAAAAATCTTTCAATAACCTTAGATACATTCAAAAATTCTAAGAAATTCGTAAAAATCTGTGGATATTCCTTGAAATCTTTAGAAATATTCGGTTATCTTTGAAAATTTTAGGAAATTGCTACAAAATCCTTGGATGTATTTGAAAATTTTCATGAAACGTTTTAGAAAACTTGAATATCGATAGAAATCTCTTGAAACTCGTTGGATTCCTCAAAAATCCTGAGAAATTCGGATAGTATCTTTGAAAATCTTATGGGAATACTTGGAAATGCTTATATGAATCTTTGAGAATCGTTAAAATCCTAGATATTATTAATGGATATCTGGAAACTCGTACAATTTTTGTAAAAATCCATTAAAAGCTTTCAATTCACTCAGAAATAACTTTCTGTCTTTGAACCTTTTAGGAAATTGTTGCAATATCTCTAGACATATTTGGGAAATTTTACAAAATCTTGTAAAAATCGAAATATGTGAAAAATGATTCTGACTCAGTACAGGAGAATTATTTAAAAATACAAGATATATGTACATTCAAGGGTTGTAATTACTTTGTACTGGGTAGTTGAAATTTTGGTTTCAAGTAAAATTACTTATTATTCCAAGTACTTTTTACAAATACCCGTTACTTATTACTCGGAGTAAAAATATTGGAAGTACTTTTCCTTTGTACTTGTAACAGTTCTGGTTACCTAACAGTTTTTGGAATATATTGAATATGAACAGATGATTCTAAATTTCCAAGTATTTCCAATGATTAGTTAAGATTTTTAAGGTTTCATGCTTTCTTGTTGAGATGCATGTATATTTGCAAGAACGATTTATAGTTGATTTTCAGTGACAATACGAGCAGTTTTTGAGGTTTTGAAGAAATTCTTTAGGAATTTCCATGATTCTTCACAATCATTAAGACAGTTTATGATATAATTTGATATTATTTATACAATATTCAAGTAATATTATTAGATGGTAATAATTTAAGTTGAGATATTAACTTACCCTTTTAAAATTTTCACTCTTTCTCGTACACGAACAAGATCCGTGTTTTTTCTCGGTTCCTTCTTTATAATCCGGTGTTGCTCCGTGTTGAACCAACACGGTAAGACACTAAACAAAAAAATAAATCGAATTTTTTTTGTTATTTTCGTCACCGGATGTACAGCTTAACAACGTTATTATTGTACCTCGACCTGTTGATTTTCCGCAGCGTCATTAATCGGACTTTTTCCATATTTGTCCAAGGACAATCTCGCGCCGTGTTTTAATAGCCAACGGACCGTTTCCAGGTGACCTCTTGAGGCAGCGAAGTGCAAAGGGGTCGCTCCATCACCGTCCCTTAAATTCGGATCAACACCTTGATCTTGAATCTAACAAAAAAAAAGAAATTTTACTCAAAGTAATAAACGATTTATGGTCGAATTTATAATTGGAAAAAATTATGAGTTATTGGTTATTGTTCGCGTTTTGACTTTCACTTCTTGGTTTTAATCACTTGGTTTCAAAAAGATTTACGATTTCGTAATAACCGCTTTGTATCCGGACATTAAACGAGAGAAAGATCGATTGTAATCTCACCATCCATTTAACACAATTTAAACAGCCCATTTGGCTCGCTGCGTGAATTGGTGCCATTCCATCTTTAGCCCTCACGTATAAAGATCCTCCGGCTTCCAAAACTAGGAATTTTAGCACTTCCAAGTGGCCTTCTTGCGCAGCCAAATAAACCGGCGTTACGTCGTTATCCATTTGAGTGTTTGCACTGAAACGAGAACAATAATTAACCAAAAAAAGAAACGGAAAGAAAAGGTGGGTTAATTAACCAATTTGTAAATTAAATTTCTTTAATTTAAATTGTGGAAGAGAAAGTTACTCTTCTTTTCCCTTTTTTTTTATTTTGGTTATAAACAAAGCGGAACGATCAAGATCAAGGATAATAAAAGAAGAAAAGTTTTTTACGATCTTATATAATATAATTTATTTATGTTATATAAATGTTTCTTCTTAAATAAATAAAAGGTGAAAATATATTTATAAGCTCGGATTGTACTCAAAAGGAAACATAAATTGAACACAAATTGTTAATTAATTATCGTACCCCACGTCATCATTGCAAGTATGCAACCAATATCACAGTACTAGTATTGCAATACGCGATTTGCGTATGATGCGTATTGCACTGTGATACTGGTTGCATACTTGCAATGATGACGTCGGGTACGATAATTAATTAACACACTGTATAGTTTCCTATTATACCAAAATTCTACTATCGGATTAAAAACTACTAGAAATAAAAGAACAGTCTCTCACCATATGTGGAAAGAGATAGAATGGGACGACTTGGGCACAAACATAAATTACTACTTTGAAGTTGAACTAGAACTAGGCAATTGTGAAGCTAAACGAAGATCAATGGACCAAGAACATTATGGAATTGAAACCAAGACAAAATGCTTTTAGGAAACAGAAGCNATATAATATAACTTATTTATGTTATATAAATGTTTCTTCTTAAATAAATAAAAGGTGAAAATATATTTACAAGCTCGGATTGTACTCAAAAGGAAAGGTAAATTGAATTGATAAAAAGGTAATCTTGGTTTATTCTTAATTTTTCTGTTCAAACCTAGAAAACAAAGGTTATTGTTGTCTGCAAAGGGCTAAGTTGCTACTTAGACCACAACATAATTGATATACAGTGTATTAATTAATTATCATACCCCACGTCATCATTGCAAGTATGCAACCAATATCACAGTACTAGTATTGCAATACGCGATTTGCGTATTCATATATATTCAGTGTGATATTGGTTACATACTTGCAATGAAGACGTCGGGTACGATAATTAATTAACACACTGTATAGTTTCCTATTATACCAAAACTCTACTATCGGATCAAAAATTACTAGAAATGAAAGAACAGTCTCTCAGCATATGTGGAAAGAGATAGAATGGGACGACTTGGGCACAAACATAAATTACTACTTTGAAGTTGAAAAGTTTTAGAAAATTAACTCAATCATAACTCAAAAACTAAAGGCGATGGCGAAATACTTTTTATACATAAAACCTTAATAATGGACCATAAAGACTAAATCCATAACAAGATTGAACTCAATTATTACAATATTTATTCATAAGCTATAAATCGATTAAACATCAAAATTGTTGATTTTCGAAAATTAACTCAAT